ACCCTCTGAGAGGGCTGTGAGGGTCTGTGGCACACCAGGGTCTCCTATCCCACCTCCAAACTTGCCCACAGTCCTTCCCCCACGAGGATCAGCCGCTTGGCAGGACTGAGGGACTCATTTGGCTCATTAGCAAAGGCAGGGAGCTGTGTCAGAGCAGCTCGAGCATCTGCAGGGCCTTTTTGCCCAGGCTGGGCCATGCCTGCCACTCCATTTACCTTGTAGCCAGGTGGGATCGGACTCTTCTTCCAAGAAACAATCACTAGGAGAAGATGAAATGGCCTCGTGTTGTGCCAGGGGAGATTTAGGTTGGATTTGGGGCAACATTTATTTGCCAAAAAGGTTGTCCAGCCCCGGCATAGGTGGAGTCCCCACGCCTGGAGGGATCTGAGTGATGTGATTGTGGCTGTGGGCACATGGCTTAGTGGTGGGCTTGGCAGTGCTGGGGGTAAGGTTTGATGATGGATTTGGTGACCTCAGTGAATCTGTGGCTGATTCTGGGAGAGGCACAGCTTTCTGGAAGGCCAGGCTGGACACTGGGCTGGGATCAGCGCTGCTGCGGCTCTGGCACCGCGCCTGCAGCTTCCCAAACTTTGTGTTTGAGCTGTGCTGTGGCTTTTGCAGAGGAATGCCAAGGCAAGGCACTCCTGTGATTAAAGAGCACCCCGGGCAGGCAGCTGAGCCCACTCTGGGTGAGCTGCTCTGCCCCTGTGGCTGCTCCCTGCTCCAGTGCCCGCGGTGGCACTGCCCGTCCCTGGGGCACCTCTGCAGCTCTCTGCAGGTGCTGCTGGCTTTTCCAGCTGTCCACCAGCACAGCTGGCTGAGTTCCTCCACACCAGGGGTGCTGGAGGCTCCAGCCCCTTCCCTGGGGTCATCCCTGCCCTTCCCTCCCCTCTCGCAGGGGTTCCGAGCAGACCTGTGCCTCTTCCTCTCGCTTTCCCCTTCCTCTTGCTCGTTCTTTCTCCCCCTCTTTACTTTCTTTTTTCATCTCCTCCCATCTGTCCTTCTCACATCAGGCTATTTTGGGCTGAGTTTCTCACTGTCAGTATGGTAGGGACCGTGGTGCAGCTCCTGTCTCTGGAGGATGAGCACTGCTTCGGGAAGCCTCCCCAGGCACTTACCTGGCTTGGCTCATCTTCACCCCCCTGCCTTGACCCTGTCATGAAGGCATTTCCAGATCAGGGTGAAAAGGCATTAAATCCTTCCCAGAGGCAGGGGAGAAAGTCATCAGATTTAATACCTTTCCACCTCAGTCTTGAAATGCCTCTGAGCCTTGCAAGTGGTTATTAAAGCAGCCTGAAGCCAAGAGTGCTGTTGGCAGGTCATTACTTGTGTCTGCAACTTCCAGAGGCTTCAAATCAGGGCATGAATGTTTGTGTTTGTTTGGAAAGGATGGCTGTAAATTGAATAGGAAATGCACCACCAGAAGTGAATTTTTAATTCTCTTCATTTACCAAAAATTCGGGAGCAGCAGTGAAGGCACAGAGTTTGCTGGGGGGAACAGGTCCCTGTGTGAGCTGGGCTGGGCTGGGCTGGGCTGTGCTGCTCTCTCCCTCTGAGCATCCTGGAGCACTTGGAACACAGATTTTAGCCTCAAATGATCTGCATGAGGCACAGCAGCTGAATGCCACCCATGTCCCAGAGCGCCCTGGCAGAGCTGAGGAAAGCTGGGGCTTGGGGCTGGCTGCCTCCTCCTGCAGAGAAGGGAGCTGGTCCTGCTGGCCCAGGGGGGCTGTGCACACCCTGCCCAGCTCAGGGGGGACCTGCCTGTGCTTGGGAGGAGCGGGAGGCAGAGCTGAGGAGGCAGGATGAGGTGGAAGGTGCTGCTCATGCCTCCAGCATGGGTGGGCAGGTGATTGCTCTCCCTTTTACATAAGCAAGCTTTATTACAGCTTTGTTCTAATAATAAATGTGCCTTTGTCTCCTCACCTTCTAATAGAACCTTCCCCTTTTGTCAGGGGCTGTAGCTTGAAAGGTGGGGGTAGACCTGTCTCTGAAGCAGCCAAGAAGTTCCTTCTCCCTCTGCTCCTCTCTTTTCTCCCACCCTTCCCTGCCCTGCTCCTCTGGCTGGGAGGTGCTGCTTGTGCCAGCTGCCAGCCTGGCACGGTGGCTGATGCTTGGCAGCACCCAGGGGCCTCAGCTTGCCCCGTGTGGGGACAGCTCTGCTCTCCCAGCCCCTGGATCCTGCAGGGGAGCCAAGGTTTGGCTGCTGTGCTGCTGTTGTTTTCCATGGGAATGAGGCGAGCCGGGGTTTGTCTGCTCTCACGGAGCCAGGTCTGGATGGAATAAAAAGGTCAATTTGAAGTAGATTATCTAAAACACATTAAAAGCCAGTGTAACCTTTCTGACTCCATTAAGTGGCTTAGGTTCTGTATATTATAAATCGCTGTTAAAGCGTTTTTGGGATCTCCAGATGAGATTTGGAATGATTTTTAGTTTTCTTGGAGAAACCTCTCATATGATGAGAATTTGGGTGCCTGGTGGGAAGAAGTTGTTTCAGCGGGATACCTTAAATCACTTCTTCCCTCTGTGACCAGCACAGTGAAATTCACTCATCTGGGAGCAAAAGCACCTTTTTGTAACCAAAAAAAGATTATTTTATTGCACAGAGTGGCCAAAGCCACCCTTGGGGAGGTTTATGTCTGTCCATGACTTTGGGATCCCTTTTGTCCGTGGTGCCTCCATATGAATGAGGTGATTATTGTCCTCCTGAGCCCATGGATTTGGGGAAGGAATCCCGGGAATCTCTCTGGCTCACCCCAGTTCTCCAGAACCTTCAGATTCTGCAGGACTCCTCTGATCTGTGTGGTTTTGTGCCTTTGCTGTTTTGCTTTCAGGAGGGTTGCTCTGCAGCTGGAATTAGCTCCTGTTCCCCCACCCTTCCCGGCTGCCAGCTGGCACCAGATTAGGAGAAAACCAAATTATTTGCTGATTCTTTCCCCATAAACATCTCAGTGAGGCAGAAAAGGCCACTGCTGAAAAGCCAAGGCAGGCCAGGGGCCCGACCAGCCCCTGCTGCTAACGTGGGATAATCCAATTGAGCTGCCAGGCTCCTTCCCCAGGCTCTGCAGCTGCAGAAAATCCGGGCTGCTGGGCAGGAATAAATGCCAGGGCTGCTCCGAGGCATGGCACAGCTGTAGAGCCACCCCAGGGCTTGTTCTTGCTGTGGGAGGTGGCACAAGAGATCACTTTGGTGTGAATTAACTTAATGCTCCAGGAGAAAGCTGGGAATGAGAGGGAAGAGGGGGAAATGGCAGGAGGGAGCAGGGCAGGAGCTGAGCCCAGAGAAGAAAAGGCTCTGGGGAGATCCTCCAGCAAAAGGGGCTCCAAAAGAGCTGGAGAAGGACTTTGGATAAGGGCCTGGAGTGACAGGATAAGGGGGAATGGCTTCACACTGACAGAAAGCAGGGCTAGATTAAATATTGGGGAGAAATCCTTCCGTGTGAGGGTGGGGAGGCCCTGGCACAGGGTGCCCCATCTCTGGGAGTGTCCATGGCCAGGTTGGACAGGGCTTGGAGCAGCCTGGGATAGAGGAAGGAGCAATGAACTCCTCCCAGGCTCTGCACAGAACAGAGCCCAGGAGCAGAAGCAAAATAAATCCCATCCCAGGGAGGCTGCTCCTCATAGCTGAGGGATGGATCAGCTTCCTTTTGGCTTGCATTCCTGCTGAAATGTGGATTTATTGCTTTTATTTAGTTTGAACTGTGCTGGAGTGCTGCAGCCTTGTAAAGCAAAAGCAAAATGCAAGAGAAATCTTTATGGTCTGCAGTGGCCCCTTGGCTGTGATGATATTTCTCAGTGTCCCTGGCTCGCAGTAAATCAGGAAAGGAGAGAGGGAACTGCTGGAACAGGGAAGGGCTCAGTTAAAGATGGGGACTCAGGGCCATCCCTGGGTGTCTTGGTGGCAGCACCATTTTCACAAGGGGATTTTTTGCTTTGCAGCTGGAATTGCTGTGTTTGACAGCCCTATGCTGTCCGTCTGTCTGTCTGTCTGTGGGATGTACAGTACACCAGCACAGGCCCTTTGCCTCCCACCCACTCTTCTTTTTCTCAGTGTTCTCCCTCGCCTTGCCTTGAACCCCTCATCCCTCTCATTGCTCCTTTGTTATTTGATTTTTGGTTTATTTTTTGCTCTATTTTCGTTCCCCTTCTCTGCCCATCACTCGTGTCTGTAAAACCAGCCCAGGAGAGGCACAGTGCTGATTCCTGAAAGCACCAACCCTTCAAAGCCCAATTTCTCTGCACCAAGCGTGGCACTGATTAGAGCAGAGCAGCCAAGCAGTTTGTGAGAACCATTTAGAAAACAAAAGGCATAAAACAGCCATAAAACCTGGTTTTACCCACGGATCCGAGTCCTTGAAGGGGCTGCAATTGGCAGAGCATCACTGGGAGCTGAGCAGGGACATGTCCCTGGTGTGGTGTGACCTCTGCTCCCTGTGGTGCTGGGACAGCTCTGGAGGGACACTGTAGGAATGTGCCCCTGTTGAGTAAACAAATTACCCTTTATCTCCTTAAAAAGGACAAAACCCCAGAAGTTTCTCTTTTTAATTTGGTTAAAAGACACCTCATAGGACCTTGGAGGCTTCACCTCAAACTTAAGGAGAGCCAATTGGACAGGAGCCAAAAAGTCCCGCCTAAGCAATTCCCTAGAAAAGAAGAGAACAAAAGAAGTAAATCGCTTTTGTGAAGTGTTTCCCCAGGAGCAAGAACCTCCTGTACTGACTGGGTTTTTCTCTGTGAAGAGCTGTTTTATTTTGCCTTTTATGAAAGCTTTTTTGCTTCCAACACTGTCACAGGAGCCATCCTGCTACTTTATGCCACCTGAGGCAGCTGAGCTATCAAGGGTAGGATGTTTGTCTATGAGAGCTTGTGAGACCTGGTTCAAATAGACAAAACATTAGGACATCTCTGATGGGATATCCCCATGGGGACACCCCCAGCAGGGCTGTTTTGGGGCTGGGGGCTCTGCATTCCCTCACCCTCTGTGCTGCTCTCGCTCTTAGGCCTCACGCCGAGGATTTCAGCGTGGATTCCTCCTTCTCACAGTAAGTTCTCCTCCCGTGGTTCCTGGTGCCGTGGGGAGGGACAAGGGACCCTGGCTTGCCCTGGGGAAAAGCTGATCCTGCTCTCCACAGGGTAAAAATCCCCTTGGAATTTGGGGTGTTTGGGCTGAGTTTTTTTGGGCAGTACCTGCTGCTGAGAGCAGTGGTTGACCTTGGCTCTGAGTCACTGTGGGTTAAAGTGGATTCTCCATCCATGGAAGAGTTCCAGGCCGGCATGGATGGGGTTTGGAACATCCTGGTCTAGTGGAATTGGGTTTTGGTCTAGTGGAATTGGGTTTTGGTCTAGTGGAATTGTCCCTGCCCATGGCTGGAGCCAGGTGACCCTTAAAGGTCCCTTCCAACCCCAACCAGTCTGTGCTCCATGATGATCCTGATTTTAAGGGAGCCAGTTAGCACAAGATTTGTCCTTTGCTGCCCTGGGCACCAAGGAATTGTGTATGGGAACTTCTTCAACAATTTCCCACCAAGGAATTGTGTATGGGAGCTTCTTCAACAATTTCCCACCCTGCTTCCATGGACAGACAATTGTGGGTCTAATGCTGGCCAAACACCAGGGCACCCACTAGAATTTATTTACTCATTTCTTGCTGTGAGATAGGATTGGGAGGAAGGCAAAGCAGGCTCAAAACTTTAAAAGGCTATAAGAAAGATTTATTAACAGTAACTAAAAGAAGGAATAATAAGTTTATTGAGGAAGAATTGATAGCAGCAAATCAGCAATTATCCATTAACGATGAGCTCCATGCACAGCCCTAATTAAACAATGCAGATTCATCAGCACAAGCAATTACAGGAGCAGGCTCATGAGTGTCGGTCTCCAATGTTGCAAAACAAATAGGCCAAAGGGAACACAGCCTGGCATCCCATTGCTGCTTCCCTTTTGGGGTTTTAACCTTTACTTGAAGTATAATTAAATTATTGAGGAGCAAGTGGTGCCACTGCCCAGCCATGAGCACCATCCAAACCCTGGGTGGGAGCTGCCCCATCCTGGAAGTGTCCAAGCCCAGCTGGACAGGGCTTGGAGCACCCTGGGGTAGTGGAAGGTGTCCTTGACCACAGCAGGGGTTGGAACAGGATGAACTTTAAGGTCCCTCCAGCCCAAAATATTTTATTATCTACAGCTTGAGGCCCCGAGCATGTCCCTGTTTCCTCCAGTGTTTGGTTTGGTGCCTGGAAATGAGCTCTGCAGCTGCTGAACACAGTTGGAGAGGGATTACAGCTGCCTTCAGGGAATGAGGAATCGATAAAAATCCCATTTCCATTGCAATGTCCTCCCTAATAAAAAATTATACATATATAAAAGAACTAGAAGTCAAGCAGGAGATTTCTGCTGCATCTCTTCAGGCCCATGAAGCCCTTCCTGCAGTCTGTGCAAACCCTTGTCCCACTGGCACACCAGGATGAGCTCAGGGCATGGTGAGAGATAAATGGCTCTGGAGGCCAAACCTACTCTTGGGCAGGGTTTTTCCTGTAGTGGCTGCTTGGAATTTGCTTTTCATCCCCAAAAATACAACTGCAGCATTACTGCTGGAGCCAGGATGACATTACCTGCACCCAGCTGGGTTTAATTTGCTGCAGAGTGGTTGGTAATATCAATTCTTTCTCCAGGCAAAAAAAAAAAAAATCACACTCCATAATAAAACAGGAGGGTTTTTTCTGGTTGATTCCCATGGTAAATGCATGAAATCTGGAAGGAATGAGTCCTTGGGCTTGAGGGGTAAGATGTGCCACAGCATCCTGGCTCCCTGGGCAGTGTTTATTGATGTGGGACTGGATTCTGCTGGTCGTGGTCTGCGATGAGCCTCGGCATGTGCTGTGCCAGGAGGGGCAGTGCCTTTCCTGTCAGGGCTGTGGCAGTGCCACAGTGGCTGTGACACTGCTGGGGTGGCTGTGACACTGCTGGGGTGGCTGTGATGGTGCCATGGTGGCTGTGATGGTGGCATGGTGGCTGTGACAGTGGCATGGTGGCTGTGATGGTGGCATGGTGGCTGTGACAGTGGCATGGTGGCTGTGATGGTGGCATGGTGGTTGTGACAGTGCCACAATGACTGTAGTAATACCACGGTGACTCTGACAGTGCCACGGTGGCTGTGATGGTGGCATGGTGGCTGTGACACAGGGCACACAGCTCACCCCCTGTGGCACCCATCTCGCTGAAGTTTTGGTGTCCAAACACCCATTACCATCACAAAAATGGTGGGGGGAAAGGAAAAACTTCCCTAAGGTAATCAGGAAGGCTGGAGCTGCCCGGGTATTTCATCAGCAGATACCTGAGCCCCAGCCTGGCAGGTTTTGTGGTTTATTTGGGAAGGATTTTGGCTCTGCTCGGGTTCCAGCTGGCACTGGCTGCTCCTGAGGGCTGGAGGCAGCCTGGCCGTGGCACGGTGCCTTCAGAGCATCCTGCACAGCCTGCTCAGGCTGCTGGGAGAGGAAATGCTGCAGACCTGCACTGCCAGCCCCGCTCCTCACCTTCCTCTGAGCTGTGTCTGGTACCCACAGCCCATCCCCGGGGAGCCCAGCTGGGCCAGCAGCACATTTCTGTAATTCCAGCCTGGCTGCAGCCACATTTTTTGTGTGTTTGATCCGTGTGGGTGTAGAGCTGTCAGCTGAGCTGGAGTGGAGGGGTGAAGTGGGGTCTCACTTTGGCTGCCTTGGCAGATTGCAGAGATTTCTGAGGTTTTGCTGATTTGTTGGACACTGTCTCCCCCCCAAAAAAAATTCAGAAGATTCTTGTTTGCATCCTGCTGCATGATGGGGGAAATTCCTTGAGACATTTCCTGGGACAAGAAATCCCTGCATGGGTTCATATTTTTTGTGGTTTCCTCGTTTTTAAGAGAATTGTCCCAGCTTCAATAGAAAGGATGGAGCAGGGGCTGTGCCCCTCAGTGTCTATTTGAATGCTGGTGGGCTGTGATGTGCTCGTCCTGGCCTTTCATCCTGCACTTTTCTGAACAAACTATTGTGTCTTTTTTTGGGAACTCATCATCTTACAACAAATTGCCTCTAATCTTAGATTAATAAAGAATGATAAATAACCGAGCGAAGAAAACAAAGTCACTCAGGCATTATGAAGTGCATAATAGCAGTAATTACACTTCCAAGCAGAGGGCTTGTAACTAAACTCATAACAGGATCATTGTTTTCGTGGCCTGGGGGGGTTCAGCAGGGGTGAGGTGGGGAAGCTGTGGAGCTGGGGACCCTTGGAATGGGCTGGCAGCAGGATGCTTGGGCAGTGGGGACAATGCTCCAGGTGGGAAGGATGCTCCAGGTGGGAAGGATGCCCAGCCATGGCAGCACTTTGAGCACCCCATCCTGGCTGAGCTGCTGCGAAGGCAGAGCTGTCACAGTGTGTTTTGGGGTGGTAACAATGCAGTCAGAGTTTTGCTTGATTCTTATTCCCAGTTAACTTCCTGACAGTGAAATTAAAGGGTACGTTTTACATGATATCATCTCCTTCCCTCGGCTGGAAATGGAGTAGGAGCTTTGATACTTTGGGATGGTGCTGCTGCCTGGGAAGAGTCACCCCTCGTTCAGCTTTGGGGTGTTGGATTCACCTGCAGAGTGGGACCCCCACAAAGATCTGGGGCTCAGCCTTGGCAGGTTGTCTGCACAGGAACTTGTTCCCTCCACATTCTGTTATTTCTTCGTCTCTTTGCAGTGTCAAACACCCTGTTCCCCCCAGTCCAGACATGGCTTTTTGTTGCTTTATTGTTTTCCCAGTGTTCCTTCTTCCAGCTGCCATCCGGATGGATGAACACGTGGGGCCACTTTATCATAAAGAGTTAGATCTCATAATTTAGTCCTTTTATCCATCAGCAATTACAGTCATTGTCCTGAGGTGGGCCACAGCTCCACAGATCAGTGAACCATCTGTCTGAAGGCAGAGATTTATCTGGCTGTTTGTTGCTCGGATAGGAGACAAATGTCTGGCAGAGGAATCTGCTCCCTGAAGTCTGCGGCTCCTCACGGCCTCAGTCCTGGGGGATGCTGATGAATGGGGTGCTCAGCGCTGCTGTTGGAGCTGAAAGCCAGTTCCCAGCACTTCCTGGGCATTTTTAATGAGGAGAAGGAGCAATTATCTTGTGTGCAGTTGTGACAGCTGATCTATGCCCTGGCACGGAAAAATGATTTGCCGAGTCTGGCTCTGGAAACGATTAATTCTAGCAGGTGTGAAGGCTGGGCTCTGAGGCTCTGCATTAATGCTCTTTGCTCCTCAAGCATCGTGCTGATGAGCCAGGGCTTGTGAATTCTCCTGCTCTCTCCCTGCAGTGGGGTCTGGGGCTGATCAGAGCCCCTCTGGCCACCTCCCCACCCCTTAGACTGGCTGAGGTGGAGCCTGGGATGAAAAGCTTGTTAAACCCTTTCCCAGTTTGCTGCCTGAGCAGCTGGGCATGAATGCTGGGTGGATATTCAGGGCGAGGAGAGGCTGCTCCCCATAAATCAGGGCCTGGCAGCTGCGGGATGGCAGCGACTGTCACCAGGAACCCGCTGCCCTTGCTGGGTGCCTGGGCTGGGGAGCACGCCTGATTGAGGTTAGAAAGCAGAGCAGGAGCAATGGCAGGAGCGATTCCTTAGGACTTGCTGGAAGTGGGAATGATGGCTAAGTCATGGCACTGAGCTGCTCTGTGGCCCCACAGCGAGGAGCAGAGTTTGTCCTGCTCGGTCTAAAGCCAAGGCAGCAGGAGCAGCGTGGTTCAGGGTGGTGAAGGGACCAATTTACCCGCACACCAGGACCCATCCAGGATCCCTGACCCTGCTGACATCCCTGCAGGAGGTTTTCTCCCATCCCCATAGGTGCAATGTGGGGCTGGCAGGGGCTGCGGGTGCGGCCGATGGGGAGGCAGGAGCAGCCAAGGAAGGCGGGGATGGGATATTCCCAGATCCACCTGGAATGTAGGGATGGGGCATTCCCAGATCCCCCTGGAAGGCGGGGATGGGGCATTCCCAGATCTACCTGGAATGCAGGGATGGGGCATTCCCAGATCCACCTGGAAGGTTGGGATGGGACATTCCCAGACCCTCCTGCTGCTCCTCCCTGCCGGATTCTGTGAAGGGCCCTGGCAGGGAACGCTCTGCCAGGTGCATCCTCATGCCATCAGCCACCACCTGTGGCCCTGGACACCAGGAGATGTTTGGGGTTGGTTGTCAGCTCCTGGGTTTTTCTGGAATGACCAGGAGTGGTATCTTAGCAACAAAGGGAAATGTTCTCCTTTTAGAGCAGGATTGTTTTTAACAGCTTCCATGCAGACTGTTTCTGCTCCCCAGACAGAGGCAGGGCACGACAGAGCCAGGACATGCTGGGGACATTGTCCTGGACAGCTCCTGCTCTGCTGGAGCAGACAAACGGGGAGAGGCCGCAGTTCTTGGGGGGTTTTGGAGGTGCTGAAGTGTGTGAAGGGAGAAGTTTGTGGCTGGCTGTGTGTGAAGGAAAGCCAAGCCCCGGTCCCCAGCAGAGCTGGCCCAGGGTCACAGGGCTGCTTTGGTGGCCCCTGGGCTCCGGCTGCTGGTGCTGCTGCTTTGGCACTGTGGGGACAGCCAGGAGCCCTGGCCGAGCCTGGGCCACTCGGGATGTCAGCGGGGTCACCCAGCTGGGATGGGGACAGGGCACCCCTGCCCTGCCACCCCCTGACAGGACTTTCCCCACAGGGTGCAGGTGGAGTTCTACGTGAATGAAAACACCTTCAAGGAGCGGCTGAAGCTCTTCTTCATCAAGAACCAGCGATCCAGTGAGTGCTGCTGGCACGGGAGAGCCCAGCCCTGCCCAGCGGAGTCCCGAGGGATGCGAAGCCATTGCCATCTGCTGGTGGCCCTGTCCCCGCCTGTCCCCGGCCCGGGGCTGCTGCTGCCTCCTGGCTCCTTTTTGGGGGTCGGCCAGCTCGGTTTGGGGGATGTTTGCATGGGGAGGAGAGAATGGCTCCTGCCACCTCTGCTCCCTGGGGACAGCCACAGCGTGACAAGCTGGGTGGGTGTCAGGGAGCCAATGTCCCCGTCACGAAGCTGGCTGTGCCTCCCTGAGGCTGTGGGGACAGCCAGGGCAGGCTGTGAGTTGCCCTCTCCTGCTCCAGCCATCGGGGTTAGTCTCCACTTGACTAATGGTGTTTTTATTTTCTTCCTCCGAGATGTCATTAGCTGTCTGGAGGGGGGCCTGCTCGTTAATTTATAATTTCTCCTTTTCTTTTCCTGCCTGCATCCTGTTGTCTTGCTAAAAAGCTGGAGTGCAGCACAACAGGGTGCCCACGGGGAAGTTTTTAATGAAAATGTGATGAATTTCTCGCTTGTAATCTGAGTAATAACCCCATGAACTGGCTGGGGAGGCGGAGTGGATAAAGCAGCAGATTTTCCTCACCACCCCTGCTCCTGCAAGGTGCTTGTGATGTGGCCAGTGCTGCTCTGGTGCTTTTAAATGGATCCTTGCTAATGAGGGGGATACACTCGTTTGTCTCTCACATCTATTGGGGTCAGCAAGGGGCTGATTCATGGTTATTTATTGCTGTGTTGGCTGTGTCTGTGACACTGGGCAGGACACATGGAGCTGGGCAGTGCTGCTGACCTGGGGCTCCTGCACTGTTGGGCTGCACTGTTGGGCTGCACTGTTGGGCTGTGCTGTGGGGCTGCCCAGCACGCACAGGGCACCCAGGCTGTCTGGGGGTGCTCGGCAATGCTGTCCCAGCCCTGCTGCCCTCCACCACAGGCCTGAGGATCCGGCTCTTCAACTTCTCCCTGAAGCTGCTGACGTGCCTCCTGTACATCGTCCGCGTCCTGCTCGACAACCCCGAGGAGGGCATCGGCTGGTGAGTGCCCCCAGCTGCCCAGGCTGCCCAGGCAGGGCTCACTGGGGATGTGGCAGCTGTGAGGATGGCATTTTTCCTCCCCCCCCCCAGCTGTTGGAATTGGTGCTTTAACAAAACTTGCCAGGCTGGTGGCCTCTGCTCAAACCCTGTGGATGGTGTGGGGGTATCTGCTGGCCCTGAGCAGAGCATGGTGGAAAAATTCAGGTCATGTTCATTTCCAAATTCTGTCTGATTCTGTCAGGGGCTCAGTGTGGCCTTCAGCCACTCCAGGGCATCACCATGCAAATATTTTCTGAAGGCTGACGCCCTTGAAGACATTAAATCCCATTTGAGCATTTGAGAGGGAAATACAGCGTGCTGTGTGGATCCTTGAGGTGATGGATGATTCCACACATCAGCTTTGTGCTGGGTGTCAGTATAAGCCTATTCTTAATGTGTCCTTGCTTCGTTTAGCTCATGAACAATGTGGTGGGGTTTTTTTTCCCCCAAGAGCTTGGATAATTGGCAATTTGATTTTCTCCTTGTAAAGGCTGCAGACTACCAAGCACATCTGTGTGTTCTGAAAGTGCTTTCTGACCTGTGAGAATGAAGCAGGACACGGATGCTCATCCTTGAGTGGTTTAGCACAGCTGCAGCTCAGGGAATTCCACGTTTTCCTGGGGGAGTGAGGCAGCAGTAAGGCTGATCAGAGGAGCACATCCCTCACAGCAGGGCAGGGAGAGCTCAGCTCGGTGCTGCCTGCCTGCCAGGGTGCTGGGGCCCAGCCAGCCTCGTCCCAGAAGCTGCAGCTCAGCAATTTTTGCTAATTGTAACCTGGTAATTCCCAGTTCCCAGCTCCCTGCAGCCCTGTGTTCTGCACTGTGCCAGGGAGAATCAGCGTTCCACTGCCAGGGGCTGAAGCACCTGAGGGCTTTTGTCCTCCAGTAATGAGATGTTCAAGGCTGCCTGGGTGAGGCTTTTCCTGTGCAAAGCCCTGGCTACAGGAATCAGGGCATCTGGATCCGTGGAAATGCTCTCCAGTGATCCCAGGGAGTCAATCCCACATCCCTGTCCCCTCACCGACTGCTTTTCCTGCTCTTTCTCTCCCAGCTGGGAATGCGAAAAGCAGAATTACACAGCGTTCAACCAGTCCACGAACATCAACTGGTGAGTGGGAGCTGCTCCAGAGCTCTGGGTGGGCTCTGCCAGGATGTGGGAGCAGAGGGGTGGAGGTGGCTGCTGTGGCAGCGTCCTGAGGCCGTTTCTTGGTCGCGGGGCTGCTCGAGGGATGTGGAGCAGCATCCCAGAACCAAATCCACTGCCAAGTGCCAGTGGCTGCACCCTTGGGAATGGCTGATTCCCAGTGCAGGGGCTGCTCCAGCAAACGGTGCAGGAGGGAGACTCCTGAACCAGGGATGGCCTCGGGTTTGCATTTTGGGGGGTGAAAACAGCCAGGCCACAGCTCAGATCCCCTCGGGGTTTCTTTGCAGGTCGCACATCTTTTGGGTGGACAGAAAAACCCCTCTGTGGGCCGTGCAGGTGAGCAGCCCTTGCTGGGTGTGCAGGGGCTGGGATGGGAGCTCTGCCCCACCTTTGGTACCCCAGGGGCTCCCGGGGCAGGGGGGGCTCGGCGAGCTCCCATCCGCTGCCAACGCCTGGAGAGAGCCCTCAGAGCCTCCCCTGTGTGTCCCTGCAGGTCAGCATCGCCCTCATCAGCTTCCTGGAGACCATGCTGCTCACCTATCTCAGCTACAAGGTGAGAGGCTGCCTCTGCCCCCGGCAGGAATTGATTTCTCCACCTCGGAGCCCGCAGCATCCCGGGGGGTGCTTGTCTGCACGATATCTCTGGGTGTTTTCCATTCTCATTCCCTCCCGGGCTGCTGGATAAGCGTTGAGCAGAGCAGAATCTCTTCTTTTTGTGCTTTCTCAGAAATTCAGCCCATTTAATGCAGGCTCGCTGCGTTTGGTGTCAGGCTGACACATCCCAGATTTCCTGAGCTCGGCAGGGCGACTCCTGCTCGTGTCCTGCTCCTCTGGAGGGAGCCGGACAAGGAGAGGCACAAGCTGACTCCTTTGGACCAAAGCCACCTAAAATGGCCAGAAAAAGTGACCTTGACAAATGGCATCTTCTCAGGGGCCAGGGGAGGGCTGGCAGCAGAGACTCAGACCCCCTGCTCTGAGTGCCAGCGATCTGTCACTGTCACCCTGCATCCTTGCACCAAGTGTTGTTGTCCCCAGCTCTGGGTGGCAGCAGTGACAGATGGAGGGATGTAGTGGCTGTGGAGAGGACTGAGCAGTTTGGGAATATTTCCTGCTCCCAGAGTGTCTGCCACCACCACTGCACCTCTCCTGCACCGTATTTCCCTCATCCAGCAGGGTCTGTGGCAGAGTGGGATCATTTTAATTGTCCTCTGGCAAGCTTTTAAGGTTGTTTAATTCTCCTTTGCTTTTGATTCCTCAGGGGAACATCTGGGAACAGATTTTTCGCATTTCCTTCGTCCTGGAGATGATCAACACGGTGCCGTTCATCATCACGGTGAGTGTGTCCCGGTGACTTTTGAAAGCAGCTCTAAGTAAGTGCTGTATTTTGGTGCTGAAATAAAGATGAATGTGTTTCTGGCCAAGTGGTTTTTAAGACTGGCAGGAAATTTCCCCTTCAATATTTGACAATATAATGACTTTCTCTGGAGTGTTATCCCAAAACCCATCCTCCCTTTCCAGCTGCAGCCAGGGAAGCAGGGCAGTGCTTGGTGGCAGCTTCAGCTCAGCTTGGATTTGAATCCTTCCAGACAGGGAGGATTGGCTGCTTATAGCTTTTTTTTTCAAAAGAGCATGGATTTCTCTGTGAATAACCCTTGCTTTCGTAGATATTCTGGCCTCCTTTGCGGAATTTGTTCATTCCTGTGTTTCTGAACTGCTGGCTGGCCAAGTACGCCCTGGAGAACATGATTGTGAGTGATGCCTTTTGTCCAGCTCCTCGGGGATGTGGAGGGGCAGCAGGACTGGGGAGGGACCCTTGGCTGCCCTCAGCTCTGGGGCAAGATTTGGAGCTTGGTGTGTGCAGCTGTGCCAGGGAATGCCAGGCTGGGAATGCCAGGCTGGGAATGCCAGGCTGGGGATGCCAGGCTGTGACCAGGAATCCCTCTGTGTCTGAGCCAGGGTGGTCAGGGTGAGGTGTTCCAGCCATTCCCCTGTTCCCACCAGAGCTGTCTCTCCCAGCAGCAGACCCCAGACCTGCTGATGGGAACTCGCATCCCTTCCCAAAATCCAGGCTCGCCCTTCACTGGGGAGGGCACTGCTGGAGGCAGCAGCAGGTGCCTGGAGGGGATTTTCCCCCAGGCTCTGTGGGGGAAAATCCATCTCTCTCTCCCCAGAACGATCTGCACCGAGCCATCCAAAGGACGCAGTCAGCGATGTTCAACCAGGTGCTCATCCTGATCTGCACCCTCCTGTGTCTCGTTTTCACGGGGTGAGTGGTGTTCTCCATTGCTCTAAACCCCCTTCCTGATCCAGGGAATCCAGCTGTGCCCACCCTGGGTATCCAGCTGTGCCCACCCCAGAAATCCAGCCGTGCCCAACCCAGAAATCTGGCTGTGCCCATCTGGGGCAGCTGGCAGAGCTGGGCCCTTGCAGGGCTCCCACCTTCCCCTGCTTTGCTCCATCCCCAGCACACTGAGCTCTGTGAGAGGGTTTTGGGTCAAACGAACGATCCTGCCTTATTCCAGGGTTTTAACAGGAAGTTTTTTGTGAGGATGAGGGTGTTGTCACGGCAGCTGGGGGATGTGGACATGAGGGCAGGGAGAGCAGCTTTCCCCAGGGGCAGGTGAGGGATGGCTCATTCACCAGGGATGGTTCCTTCACCAGCAGAGCTCTTCCTCCCCCACCCAGCACAGCTCCCGAGCTCATTTGTGTAATTGGCCACTGGGGCTCCTGGTAATTAACTGGGCCCTTTCCCTGCCATTGCCAGCATCAAGGGTGTTCCTTTGTGCAGGGGAGCAGAGCTCATCACTGGCTATTTAGCTCTGAATTAGGCTTTGAATTCTCCTCTGGCTCCCTGGGTCTGGGTTTGAGGCATATTGAACTATTAAGTTGCCGAATGGAGAGGAAATGAGGCTTTTAGGCTCATGAGTTTTTGGCAATAAAGATGATGCTCTGATGTGGATGACTAATGCTATTTCAGAGCTCAGTGGTGCTCCCAGCCCTGCTGCTGGATGAGTTTGGGGATGGAGGGGGTACAACTTAGGCCCAGGAAGGCTTGGGTGACACTTGTGTCCAGCAGGATGGCTTTGAGCTGCAGGTGCGTGGGGTTCTGCTGCGATGGGGCTTTTCCCTTCCAGGACCTGTGGCATCCAGCATTTAGAAAGAGCAGGTGAGAAGCTCTCCCTCTTCAAGTCCTTCTATTTCTGCATCGTCACCTTTTCCACCGTGGGCTACGGAGATGTGACACCAAAGATTTGGCCTTCCCAGCTCCTGGTGGTGATCATGATCTGCGTGGCCCTGGTGGTGCTGCCGCTCCAGGTGAGACCCGCAGAGCTGAGGGTGGGGAGGGACCCCGGCCCTGCCGCTGGGGACATCAGCTCCGTGCCCCCCGCAGTTCGAGGAGCTCGTCTACCTGTGGATGGAGCGGCAGAAGTCGGGCGGGAACTACAGCCGGCACCGCGCGCAGACCGAGAAGCACGTGGTGCTGTGCGTCAGCTCCCTCAAGATCGACCTCCTCATGGACTTCCTCAACGAGTTCTACGCCCACCCGCGCCTGCAGGTGAGCGCGGGGCCGAGCTGACACGCTGCTGCTGGCTCACAGCCCCACGGGACCCCCGGCACGGCGGCCTCTCTCTCTCTGACAGGATTACTACGTGGTGATCCTGTGCCCGACGGAGATGGACATCCAGGTGCGGCGCGTGCTGCAGATCCCCCTGTGGTCCCAGAGGGTGATCTACCTCCAGGGCTCCGCGCTCAAGGACCAGGACCTCATGAGGGCCAAGTGAGCAGAGGGACACGCTGCACGTCCCTGGCGAGGAGGGTCACCCAGCGGCGTCCCCGTGGGGCTGGGGGGCTGGCAGTGGGCTGGCTGGGGTGGGCAGTGCCCAGTGGGGCCCGGCAGTTCATGGGGTCGCTGCTCTCTCTTGGCAGGATGGACAATGGAGAAGCTTGCTTCATTCTCAGCAGCCGAAACGAGGTGGACAGAACAGCGGCGGTGAGTGCAGTCAGGGGTGGGGAGGTGACACCGTTGAGTCAGGACAGTGGGAAATGGCTCCACTTTAGGAGGCGAGAGAGTAGAACTCGGATTTATTTCAAATACACCTCTCTTTTACAGAGAGTATCATCTAGACCCATTCTGTTGGTCCTAGAGTAAAAACATCTCAACCACTGGTGTGCAGTGAACGACGCACTGTGGCAGAAATTATCTATAAACAATGTGAACAACAAGAGAGATAAAGAATTCTTTACATTCTTAACTGCTTCTCAGGCTTCTGCCTGGTTAGAAACCTTCATTTTCTCTCTGACTGAACAGGGAGGGGACATTTTTCAGGCAGAAGGGGCTGGGGTGGTGTTGATGTCACCTGTGCCCAGCAAAGGGGCTGCGTGCCATGGAGAACCTTGGTGATGGCACAGAGACATGCAGCAGCACGCTGCTGGCTGAGCCCCTGTGGGCTCACCTTTGTTCTGCTGCTTTCCCATCAGTGCTGGGTCTCAGGGAGCACAGAGGCAGGAGGAGCCTTTGCTGTACAGCTCCAGGGTGGCTGGGTGCTTTGCAGTTCATCCCAGGCATAGAAGTCTTGGGGAAAAGAAACCATCAACCAAGCAGCTCTTGTTGCTCTTGTCCCTGTCCAGGACCACCAAACCATCCTGAGGGCCTGGGCTGTCAAAGACTTCGCTCCAAACTGTCCTCTCTACGTTCAGATCTTAAAGCCAGAGAACAAATTTCATGTCAAGTTTGCCGGTGAGTGGGAGCAGCTGCACAGCAGCTCTTGGTCAGCTGAGAGCCCTCCTGGACTGGCAGGAGGGGGAAACACCCAGTGCCCAACACCACCCCAAAATGACCCCATTCCAGGGCCCTGCCAGCCAGGGAACCCATCTGTCCCCCTCCCCTCTGTGATGGTCCCCTCTGCCTTTCAGATCACGTTGTGTGTGAGGAGGAGTGCAAATACGCCATGCTGGCACTGAACTGTGTCTGCCCTGCCACCTCCACCCTCATCACGCTGCTGGTGCACACCTCCCGTGGCCAGTGAGTGCTGTCCCTGCCTGTCCCTGCCTGTCCCTGCCTGTCCCTGCCCATCCCTGCCCTCCCCTACCCTGCCTGAGCCTGCAGGGATGGCACAGCTGAGGTCTCTGAGCTCAGGGCAGAGAGGATAGGGTCTGGGATGGAGCTGGGGGGCACAGTGGGGTCTGGGGCCCCATCCAGGTCTCGTGCAAAAGTTAATTTTGTAAAGGGACCACACCAGTGCAGGTGGGCTGGGCAATGCCAACCTTCCAGAGACTGGAGGTAAAAATGTCTTTGTATTGGCACAGTGCTGCTGGCAGGAAGGTGAATTCACAGCACAAGCAGCGCCAGACCCTGCAGGGTTTTTTGGGGGGGTTATATCCAGCATGGCTGGAAGGAGCTCTGCCAGCACAGGGAGCAGTGGTGTGTGCCCTGCACTTCTTGGCTGGTCAGAAATGTCTGAATTTTGGGTAAAGTGCCATCAGAACAGTCATGAAACATCCTTGCCAGATGCCTCTCACCCCATGCTCGGGGCTGTTTGCCAGCACAGGCCCTGCACCCCGCAGGAGCCCTCGTTAAATAAAAAGGCACTTAAAACCCAAAATGAAAACGAGCTCATCCTCGGCGAGCACCGACAGCTCGTGGCCATGTGCCACTGTCACCCCCCTGCTGTCGGGCTCCGGGGCAGCTCCAGAGATTGTTGGTGCTCTGTCCTGGGATCTGGCTGGAGTTCTGGGATCTGTGCCAGCTCCGGGGGTCCCACCATCCCACCTCAGCTCCAGGGGTCCCATCCCAGCTCTGGGGGTCCCATCCCAGCTCCGGGGATCCCATCCCAGCTCCGGGGGTCCCATCCTAGATCCAGGGGTCCCATTCTACCCCGGGGGTCCCATCCCAGCTCCAGGGATTTATCCCAGCTCTAGGGGTCCCATCCCAGCTCCAGGGGTCTGTCACAGCTCCGGGGGTGCCATCCCAGCTCTGGGGGTCCCATCCTAGATACAGGGGTCCCATTCCACCCCTGGGGGTCCCATTCCAGCTCCAGGGGTCCCATTCCAGCTCCAGGGGTCCCATTCTAGCTCCAGGGGTCCCATCCCAGCTCCAGGGGTCTGTCACAGCCCCAGGGGGTCCCATCCTAGATCCAGGGGTCCCATCCCATCCCTGGGGGTCCCATCCCATCTCCAGGGATTTATCCCAGCTCTGGGGGTTCCATCCCAGCTCTGGGGGTCCCATCCCAGCTCCGAGGGTCTCATCCCAGCTCTGGGGTCCCATCCCAGCTCTAGGGGTCCCATCCCAGCTCCAGGGGTCTGTCACAGCTCCAGGGGTGTGTCACAGCTCCAGGGGGTCCCATCCCACCCCTGGGGGTCCCATCCCACCCCTGGGATCCCTCCTGACACTGCCGTGCCTGCAGGGAGGGCCAGGAGTCCCCGGAGCAGTGGCAGCGGATGTACGGGCGCTGCTCGGGCAATGAGGTCTATCACATCCGCATGGGCGACAGCAAATTCTTCATGGAGTACGAGGGCAAGAGCTTCACCTACGCCGCCTTCCACGCCCACAAGAAGTGAGGGCAGGGGCTGGGGGATCCTGCTCTGCATGCCCGGGGTCAGGGCTGGGGGCCTGCCGGTGCTTTGTGTGGGGACAGTGCCCCAGAGGGGTTTTTGGAGGGGTTTTTCTCTGGGAAAATGCCCCAGAGGGGTTTTAATGCCCCGAGGGGTTTTTATCTGGGACAATGTCCAGAAGGGCTTTTTCTCAGGACAATGCCCCTGAGGGGTTTTTCTCTGGGACAATGCCCCAAAGGGGTTTTTCTTTGGGACAATGTCCAGGAGGGCTTTTTCTCAGGGCAATGTCCCCGAGGGGTTTTGCTCCGGACAATGCCCAGGAGATGTTTTTCTCAGGGCAATGTCCCCGAGGGGTTTTTCTCTGGGACAATGCCCTAGAGGGGTTTTTGGAGGGTTTTTTCTCTGGGACAATTCCCTGGAGGGGTTTTTGGAGTGGTTTTTCTCGAGACAATGCCCCAAAGGGGTTTTTCTCAGGGCAATGCCCCCAAGGGGTTTTTGGAGGGGTTTTTCTCTGGGATTGATGCACTGGAGGGGTTTTAATGCCCCGAGGGGGTTTTTCCCCTGGACAATGCCCCAAGGGGTTTTTTGTCCCGAGGGATTTTTCTCTGGGACTATGCCCTGAGGGGTTTTTCTCCAGACAATGCCGCCGAGGGGGGTTTTTGGGAATGCTCAGCCCCTGCTCCCGGCACAGGTACGGTGTCTGCCTGATCGGCATCCGCAGGGAGGAGAACAAAAGCATCCTGCTGAACCCCGGGCCGCGGCACATCATGGCAGCGTCGGACACCTGCTTCTACATCAACATCACCAAGGAGGAGAACTCTGCCTTCATCTTCAAGCAGGAGGAGAAGCAGAAGAAGAAGGGATTTGCGGGCAGGGGCAGCTACGACGGCCCCTCCCGGCTGCCCGTGCACAGCATCATCGCCAGCATGGGTGAGTCGGGGGGCTCGGGGGGCAGCAGGAGCTGGCACACCCCACTCCATCACCTCCCCCACGTTTGGGTTCGTTTCCTCCCCCGTGTTTGGGTTTATTTTGTGGTTTTGGGTTTATTTTGTGTTTTACACGCTCCCCCCCTCCCCAAAAAGCCCTTTCCATGCTCTCTCCCAGCCGTCTCACCAGTAAAATATATGTTTCCTTGCACCCTGGGTGCTCCCAGCAAGCTCAAATATCATTATTAAACCTCGTGATGCCTATTATCATTAAGGGTATTTGCATAAATGCCCCAAGCCTGGATTTAGCCCCTAGTTATTTCCAAGGCTGGAAGAAGAAATGCCGCGGGGCACATCCTAAATCACGTTTATGATTCCCAAAGCGAGGAAGAGCGCAGTTCTCTCTGCAGCCAGTGGTGCATTTGTGCAAGTGAGAAATACCATGAGTCATTACTTCCCTCTTGTATCTGGAGGGAACAAGTTTTGGAGCAGCTGAGCCACACGAGCACATTATATTTGAAGCAAATAATTTATGTATTTGTACTCCTGAGCAGCAATTTGCATAGATTATCCCCCAGCAAGCCTCAGAGTGCTTTGCTGAGCCGTGTTTGTCACGGTTCTCGTCACACAGCTCCTACGCAGAGGGACCTTTGGCAGAGGTGATGAGAGGGACAGAAATGACGTGAGTGCCAGCAGGGCAGTGTCCCAAGGGCTCTGCTTCTTGGGACAGTCCATCAATGTGTTTGGGTTTTGGAAGCTGCTGCAGGACAGGATGAGGAAATCTCTCTCGTCCCCTGTTGGATATCAGGAAAAATTCCTTCACAGAAAAGGCTGTGAAGCATTGGCACAGTCTGCCCAGGGCAGTGGGGGAGTCATCCTCCCTGGAGGGATTTAAATGATGTGTAGGTGTGGCATTTGGTTGATTTAGTGGCAGGTTGAGAGTGCCGGGGGAATGGTTGTGTTCAATCTTAGAGGACTTTCCTGTTCCTTTCTCAGAATCCTCAGAGGATTTTGAGATTCTGAGAGCTGGAGCTGCTCAGGAGGGGTGTGGGAGGTGGGTGAGGGCATTGCTGCCTGTCTGCCTCTCCCTGGGGCAAAAGGACATCCATGAGAAGGGCAGATGTGGTTCCTAACCCGGCTGGTGTCTCCCAGAGCCCCTGAGGAGCTGTGGGCAGGGGTTGGGCTGCAGGGTTGTCCTCTCAGAGGTTCACCAGCGTGACAAAAACCCCTGCAGAGCCCGGTTTGGCAGTTCAGGGAGCAGCAGGTGGGTGAGTGGTTCAGCTGTCCGTGGAGCTGTGAGGAGAATGGAGAGAAGGACAGACCCCAGGGACAGCTGAGCCCTGGGAAGATGCTGCACATGGGTAGAGCTTTACCTGCACTCCCCGTGTCCACAAACACTTGAGCATCATCTGGGCTGCCTCATCCCTGAGCAGGGCTCGGGGACTGGAGGCTTTTGTGACATTTCCCCCGCTAAGAGCGTGTTTGCTGTGTCCAGGAACAGTGGCCATGGACCTGCAGAACACCGAGTGCCGCCCTGCCAACAGCAGCAAGCTGGCACTGCCGGCCGAGAACGGCTCGGGCACGCGGCGGCCCAGCATCGCCCCGGTGCTGGAGCTGGCTGACACCTCCTCCCTGCTGCCCTGTGACCTCCTCAGCGACCAGTCTGAGGACGAGATGACGCAGTCGGACGAGGAGGGCTCGGCGGTGGTGGAGTGAGTGGCTCCCTGTTAATAGAGACTTCTTTGTCTGGTTCCTTGTGGCTGCTCCCAGTTTGTTCCAGTTTCAGAGGCACCGGGGCCATGGCACGTGCCAGGTGCTCATGGTGCCCGGGGAAGCTCAGGCTCAGCCCCTCCTGATTCTCCATGAGCACTCTGTCCCTCCTAAATGAGTATATTCAGGGAATTTCCAGCTGCTATACGGGACAGTTTTGCAGTGTTGCTGTTGAATGTTTTCCCCAGCATCGGAGAGTTGGATAAATGGAAAGCTCTCCCCGTGTCCTCACACAGGTTTCTCTCTGCTGCAGGTACGTGAAGGGCTACCCCCCAAACTCGCCCTACATCGGGAGCTCCCCCACCCTGTGCCACCTTCTGCCCGAGAAAGCCCCGTTCTGCTGCCTGAGGCTGGACAAGGTGTGCAGGGGCTGCGGGGCTGCCTGGGGCTGAGCCCCCAGGACGTGCCCACCGAGTCCCTGCGCTGTCCCACGCAGGGCTGCAAGCACAACAGCTTCGAGGACGCCAAAGCCTACGGGTTCAAGAACAAACTGATCATCGTTTCCGCGGAGACAGCCGGGAACGGCCTCTACAACTTCATCGTCCCGCTGCGGGCGTACTACCGCTCCCGCAAGGAGCTCAACCCCATCGTGCTGCTGCTGGACAACAAGCAAGTACTTCTCCACGGGTGTTCTCCCTCCCACAGAACCTCCCTGCGCTGCCCTGGGCATTTCGTGCTGTGGGGTGGGAGTGTGAGGGAGCAGCGGTGCCACCGCCGGGTGCTGGGCTGCTCAGCCCTGGGATTTTGTGTCTGTCTTTGCTGCCTGGACGTGCTGAACCACCTCGCTCTCTGTGGCTCTCCCCCCAGGCCTGAGCACCACTTTCTGGAGGCCATCTGCTGTTTCCCCATGGTTTACTACATGGAGGGCACCATTGACAAGTAGGTGTTTCCACGTGTGGCTGTCGTGCCTGAATTGTTGCATTTGCCCCGGCCCAGCCTGTTCAGTCACCCCGTGAGAAGCCCCAGGGTTGGTAGCGTAGAGCTGAGCCCACCTTGGGCTTCTCGAGTTGTCAACCCCTCCCTGTGAGATGGGAGCAGGTGAAGAGCAGGTCGGGAGCAGCCTGGGCTCGCCGTGGAACCCCTGTGCTGCTTCCCTGTGTCGTTTCCAAGGGCTGACCCTGCGCTCTTCTCTTTGGGAACTGCCCAGCCTGGACAGTTTGCTGCAGTGTGGCATCATCTACGCTGACAACTTGGTGGTGGTGGACAAGGAGAGCACCATGAGTGCCGAGGAGGACTACATGGCAGATGCCAAGACCATCGTCAACGTCCAGACCATGTTCAGGTGAGGGGTGACCACTGCTGGGGACAAGGCCAGGAAGGCTGCCAGAGCCTGGGGTGGTGGCTACGCACAGTGGGACACATCTGGCACTGGGTTTGCTGAAGGAATCACCTATTTCTGACCTCAGACATGGCTGTGGTCTGCCTCAGGCTTTAAATCCTCTGAGACAGCTGCAGGACAACAGATCTCTTTCCATTGCAGGCTCTTCCCCAGCCTCAGCATTATCACGGAGCTGACCCACCCCTCCAACATGAGGTTCATGCAGTTCAGAGCAAAGGACAGTTACTCTCTGGCCCTTTCCAAACTAGAAAAGGTAAGAGGAGGTCGTTCCCTGCAGCCTGGGAATTCAGCACTGACAGTGACTGACTGCATTTGAGCTCCTCGAAGTCCTGTGCTTTTCCCATGTCCAGGAAACCCAATCGTGTCTCACACATTTCCATGGAGAAAAAATATCCTCCTTTTCTACAGTGCAAAGATGCTGCCCTGGTTTCCTCCTTGCACACCCACTGGGACCATTACACCTGTGCCCTCCCGTTGCCATGAATCCTCCAAGTTTCTGTGCAATTTGAGCTCAAACTTCCCTTTCTTCTTGCAGAGAGAGCGAGAGAATGGCTCCAACTTGGCCTTCATGTTCCGGCTGCCCTTTGCAGCTGGGAGGGTCTTCAGCATCAGCATGTTGGACACGCTGCTCTACCAGGTGAGACGCAGCCCTGCAGCTGTGGCCTCCCCTTGGCGTCCCCCCGGGAGCAGCTGAGCAAACCTCGCCCTGCTTTCCTGCCCAAATGTCTCCCCAGTCCTTCGTGAAGGATTACATGATCACCATCACTCGGCTGCTGCTGGGCCTCGACACCACGCCGGGCTCCGGGTACCTCTGTGCGGTACGTGCCAGCTCCCCTGGGGTGAAACTGGCCTGGATCTGGTGGCATCTGTCACCCTGTGCATGGGGTTGGGGTTCCCCTCTTCTGCAGAACTGGGGTGGGAACAGCATCGCCAGGTCATTGTTCCCTTCCATTCTGGGGAGCCTCAGTGCTACCAAAAGCTGCCAAGGGTCAAACTCCCTGTTTTGAAGGCTGAGGTCGGAAATTGCCCCTGATTTTCTTGTGGAGTCCAGCTCACTTTTGGGATGGTGGTGGAGCAGCCCGAGGGGCACATGGGGGTCCATGTGGGTGCTGTGTTCCTCAGATGAAGATCACTGAGGATGACCTGTGGATCCGGACGTACGGCCGCCTCTTCCAGAAGCTCTGCTCTTCCAGCGCCGAGATCCCCATTGGGATTTACAGGACGGAGTCGCACATGTTCGCCACCTCCGAGGTAGGGCACGCTGCTGGCACGGGCCGGGGAGGGGCTGCTGGTGGTGGCATCCAGGAGGGTGTGGGTCCCTGGTGCACCTCAGACCTGGCTGCAGCAGCAGTGGGGAGGGAGAACAGGGGATGGAGAATTTTTGTGTTCATTTTGTGAGAGTGGCTGCACTGGGTGGCGGCGTCCTGGATCCCCAGCTGGGTCAGGGTCAGTGCCCCTCTCTCCGGGCAGATGTTCTTTGGGGCACCTTGGGGAGCAGGGTGGGCACAGCAGGGCTGCCCCTTTGCTGGACTGACTCGTGGTTTTCCCTTCCTCCTCCCCTGCTGCAGCCCCACGACATCCGAGCGCAGGTGAGTGCCGCTCGCGTCCGGCCACTGCCTCCCTGTCCCCACACCCCCGCTGACCCCTGGGCTGGCTCTGGCCACCGAGAGCCACCCCGTGCTCTGTGCCAGCTCTCAGCCCTGCTGCCAGCACAGCCCTGCCTGTCCCCACGGGAGGGAGACACTGGCTGAGCCTCAGTGCCCTGATGTAATTAACTGGGATCGGGGCAAGGGAGGGAGCCGGCGTCCCTTTTAAATACCTTCAGTTTTCAGCTTGAAAGGGAGCAGTAACAGGGAGCTGAAAGTTGACATTTAATTAAACGCAGTCCAGCTCCTTGAGATGCTTTAAAAGGCTTCATTAATGAACTCCTGCTCACCACTGGGGATTGCTGGGTCAGACGTGTGGCAGCACAGATGCTGTAAGAGGGAAGAGAGGAAGATGAGGGCATGGCTGTTCCTTGGGCAGATGCCCAGAGGTGATTCTGTGTGAGGTGTCAGGTGCCCACAAGACTCCCCTCAGCTTATCCAAGGGAAGCTGTGGCTGCCCTGTCCCTGGAAGTTCAAGGCCAGGCTGGACAGGACTTGGAGCAACCTGGTCTGGTGGACCAAGCCAGGAGTGGAACCAGATGAGCTTCATGCTCCCTCCAGTCCAAACCACTCTGGGATTCTGTGAAATCTGCCAGCCCGGCGGCTCTTACAGTGCAGAGACGAAGTGCTGGGAGAGCCCATTTGGGTCAGAGGAAGGACCCACCCCGTGGGAGACATCCCACCCTGCCAGGCACAGGCCAAACCCCTCTCGGCCACCCCCCATCCCGCGTGACCTGCTGGGCTTCTAGTCACAGATCTCAATCAATGTTGAGGACTGCGAGGACACCAAGGACGTCAAGGAGCACTGGGGCATCAAGACGAGCCACCACCGGAACTCGTGCTCCAGCGACCAGTCGGAGCACCCGCTGCTGCGGCGCAAGAGCATGCAGTGGGCACGGCGGCTCAGCAGGAAGGGCAACAAGCACTCCAGCAAGACGGCCGAGTGGATCAGCCAGCAGCGCCTCAGCCTCTACCGGCGCTCCGAGCGGCAGGAGCTGTCCGAGCTCGTCAAAAACCGTATGAAGCACCTGGGCTTGCCCACCACCGGGTACGGTAAGTGCCGCTCGGCCGAGCCGCCCGCGGGCTCCTCAGGTAACCCCGGCCGAGCCTGACCCTGACCCTGACCCTGACCCCGTGCCAGCCTGACCCATGCCAGCCTGACCCCAGCGCCGTGCCGAGCCTGTCCCGGCGCGCTCCGGCAGCGCCCCATCCCCCCGGCTTGCTTGTGCTTGTGCAGACCAGCGGCTCCAGGCTGGGGTCCCCCACGCAGAACCCCCTCCCCTGCCACCCCCGGCCAGCTGCAGGCAGCCCACCCCCCATCTCTGGGCTCTGGGATGGCTCCAGGCAGGAGTTGGCAGTGGCAGAGTGGCCCTGGTGCCTGCAGCAGGACCCAGCGTCCCCACACAGCCTCGGGGCACGGGGCCCTGTTTGTCCCCCACTTTCCAGCCACGCAGAGATGATGGTTCAGGACAACCCGACCCCAGGTCAGCACAACCCGTGTGCCCAAGAGCCCTCGTAGGTCTGCAGGGAGAGGCCAAACCCCGTCAGCTGGCGCAGCCCCCCTTTTGTTATGGACTTTAATCTGTCATGAACTCTCCGTGGAAAACCTTTCGGTAGCTGCAGGGCTGAGTTGCTTCATTGCGTGTGGCACTGGTGTGTGGCTGTGGCAGGCACAGCGCTCAGGGTCCCTCTGTGCAGCCACATCTCTCGTCAAGCTTCGATCTGCCCGTCGGTGCTGGCATCTGTGTCCCCTGGACAGCTCCCACCCCTTGGTTATGACAAACTCTGTAGCCCACAGCTCCCTTTGTTTGGTTGGTTTGGTTTTGGTTTGGTTTGGTTTTTTTTCTTTCTTTCTTTGAAGCCATCCTGTGCTGCTGCTTGCTTGCTCCATCCTCCAGGAGTGTCCGTCCACCCCGTGCTGGCCCCTGCCCACACTCAGGCTGGCAGTGAGCCCCAGCTGGGATGGGAGCGGATTTTGGGGGTGGGATTCCTCCTTTCCCATCTTTAGGGAAAGAGGAGATGTCCAGAAGTGCAGTGCAGGAGGGGTTTGGAGTGGGGGCTCAGGGGGTGGCTGTGGGCACTGCCAGCGTCCCCAGGGAGAGAGGCAGGAGAGGTGGCTTGTGGTGGGATGGAGCGAGGACAGGGTGCCAGGCAAGGGCTTGCAGTGGTGTACCCCCCTTTCCTTTTCTCCCTACATTCCCAGTCCCAGCAGTTCCTGTTATAGCTCCAGGGGGGCTGTCTGGCCTGGGTGAGGCTTGGGGCACAGCTTGGGGTCAGGTCAGGGCTGGCATCTTTGTCCTGGCAAATTTTGGTTGAAGCAAACAGCGTGTCGGGGGTAGAGGGCAGGGACACAGGGAACGGTGTGGGGACCAGCAGCTCCTTGGGCATCCAGCAGTGCTGGGACTGTGTGTTGTCACCTCGTGTCACCGTCAGTGTCTGGACACCCGTGGACAAACATTGCTCTGCCTTCTGCCCCTTTCCTTTTTCTTTTGCTCACGTTATCGCTGCAGCGCAGGAGCTCGTCTCTGATATTTGCCAAACCATGGCTTGCTGACCTCTCTCTCTCTCTCTGTTTATGTCTGTGCCTTTCCCTGTATGTTCTGTAGAGGATGTAGCAAATTTAACAGCCAGTGATGTGATGAATCGGGTAAACCTGGGATATTTGCAAGGTAATTCCCTTTCCCTGGGAGTCCCCCGTGACTCATGGCGTGCAGCGTACAACAAGATCATGCCAGCTAAGCCCAAACCTCACCCTTGCCAGTTTTCACCTTAGATCCCCGAGCTTTCAGCACTAATTTGTTGGGTGGCGTTGGAAAACCAATCAGTGTCCTGTGCTGGTGATGCAAGCTCAGGGCTCTGCCTGATCAGGGAGACAGAAACCTCAGGGACCCTTTTTTAGCAGAATTCCTACAGGGAAACCACAGCCCTTGGCTTGCTTTAACAAAACCCTCCCTCCACGGCTCCGTGAGGGGGTTTTGGGCTGTGCAGCCTCTGGCAGCTTGAGGAGGGGACAAGGAAGGGTTCAGCTGCAGCAGAGCTGCCTGTGCATGTTGTGATGAGATGCTGGAGCTCCTGCTGGGTCAGTCCAGGGCAAGGCAGCGCTTTCAAAATCCCTTTGCAGCCCTTGGTTTGCCTTCCTGGACCCCTCTCTAGCATTAGAAGACCCCATTTTCTGACCAGGGGTGCTGGGCTCAGCCCAAGGCAGCAGCAGTAGCCACAGGGGCCATCGGTGCTGCAGCCACCCTGGGCACCTTGTGGGGCTCTGTGGGACCACCAGCTTTTCCCATCTTTTTTTCACCTTTACACCGCATGGAACATGCCCTGGAAAGGATCTTTTTTACCTCAGCAATCCCAAGATTAGCAAAGGCCCATCCCAGCTTCATTTTTGGCTTCACCAGCCCGGCTTAAGGTGAAACGTTGGCATTTTCCTTACAAAGTGTGTCCTCCATCAGCCGGGCAGCCCCAGCGGGGGCTCATGGAAGCCCCAGGCCAGCAGAGTATATTGCCCGGGGCAGTGGAGGGGCAGCAATATACTCGGTGTGCTCAGCAGGGCCTGGCTTGGCTGCATGGGGTCAGGAAACTTCCATGGGGCAGGGAAACCTGCCCAGAGCCAGAGCCCGTCCCCACCTCCCTGTCATGTCCAGCCCCGTGTGTCCCGTCGGGTCCCAGGGTCTGTGTGCCACCCTTGCCCCGGCATTGCCACCCCACCCCTGTCTCCCTGTAAGGCTGAGCACTGGGATGGCCAAAATGCCCTGGTGGCTCCAGGACAGGACACCCTGGCACAGCCTGGGGGTCCCAGCAGCATCTCCCGGGTCCCCCTGGCTGCAGCACCTTCTGTGGTCCCAGAGGTGACAGGGATGTGTCTGAGCAGCAGCACACAGGTCTGCTGTCCCCCTGCAAGCACTGCTGGATGTGGCACAGCCCTGGGGGTGCCCCGGGGCTGGTCTGGGTGTGCCCTGGCAAGGACACCTCGGGAGGAAGCTGTCTGCATTCCTGCGCTGGCATCTGAGGGCTGGAGAAAAGCAGTTTCAGCCCCGTGCCAGGGTGAGCTGGCACCCCTTGGCATTGCTGAGGCTGTGCCCACCACGGGGCAGGGCAGCCTCTGACTGGGGGACAGCAGGGAAGGGGTGGTGGGAGCAGCAGGACAGGCCACAGGAGCAGCCTGGAGTTAACACCCATCCCAGTGCCGGGTCCTGCTCCTGCTGCCCCCAAAGCAGCTCCGTTTGCGCCTCAGAGGGGCCTTTCCAAAAGCCTGGAGAAGTGTCCCAGTGCCAAGCCTTGCAGCGAGCTGGTGTCCCCCCGTGCTCCTCATGCTGCCCTGGTGTCCGTCTGTCCGTCCCCTTCCCGCCTGTCCATCCACACCCCATCACCCTGTCTGGAAATGTGTCACCTGTCGCAGCTTCCACCCCTCCCTGGCACCCGCAGCCTCGCACCCCCATCCATCTCACCATGATCTTGTTCTTGGCTATTTCGGGGAGCACAGGGCCCCCCCATCATCGAGACCCCCCTGTTTGCCCCCGTGGGTGCTGCTCGTGGTGGCCCCGAGCCCCCCCTGGGAGGTCACTGTGGTTGAGAGCCATCCCCAAAATGGCATTGATGGCTCTGAAAGTCCACGGAGGCGATTTCCCCTGGGCAGGGGACAGGAGCAATCCCTGGACTAATCCTGGGCCTGGATGGTGCAAAATGCAATAATTGAAGGGGAGAGGTGGGCAGAGCATTGGGGCGGCCCCGGGGGGGTTCAGCTGCCCTGAGCCCGTGGTTGGACTTGTGCTGTACCTGACACAGCAGGACTAACCTGTTCCCTCTTTTGCACTGCACCAAGGTAAGACATCTCACTTTATCTCTGGGGAGGGAGTGGGGATTTTGGAGAGTGACCTCTGCCAGTCCCTGGGCCGTGCTGTGGTGGGGAGAGCCTGGGGAGGTGAGGAGGGAGGTGGCAGCGACGTTCTTGGTGCCCTCCTGGTGGCAGCGACATTGCCCACGGCTTCTCCTGGAGAAGGGACCCATTTGCCTGGATGGGATCTGCCACCTTGCCTGTTGGGGTGTCTGTGGGGGTGTCCCTCCCTCACCAGCCCTGCCCCTCCTCTTGCAGATGAGATGAACGACCACCAGAACACCCTGTCCTACGTCCTGATCAACCCGCCCCCGGACACACGGCTGGAGCTCAACGACATCGTGTAAGTGTCACCTCACCCCGTCCCCAGAGTGCCCCGGTGCCATGAGCTGCCCCCATCCCGTTGTTTCCCAGGATTTCTCATAAATACCCACAGCTTTTGCCTCCTTCCCAGTCCATTCCAACTCCCTGTGCTCCTGAGCAGAACTCAAACCACCCCAGCCCCATCTTAGCTCCCACGGGCAGCGTGGGATTCTCCTTTGGCTTTGGCCGCTGAGCAGCTGAGGAATAACTGCTGATTATTTATTATATTATTTATAATATAACACCCTTCATTCAAACAACCGCCGTGCTCTCCATGGGGCACCCTTGCGTGTCCTGGCCTCCATTCCAGGGGGAATTGGGGACATTCCAGCAGCGTGACCCAGCTGTGTCCTGCAGGTACCTGATCCGTTCTGACCCGCTGGCCCACGTGGCCAACGATGGCCACAGCCGCAAGAGCAGCTGCAGCAACAAGCTGGGCTCCTGCAACCCCGAAACACGCGACGAGACCCAGCTGTGAGCGGCCCCCGAGCGCCGGCCCAGGGGAAGGAGAGCACGGCCAGCCCCAGGGATGGAGAGCATGGCCAGCCCCGGGGATGGATGGAGAGCACGGCCAGCCCTGGGGATGGAGAGCATGGCCAGCCCCGGGGATGGATGGAGAGCACGGCCAGCCCTGGGGATGGATGGAGAGCACGGCCAGCCCCGGGGATGGATGGAGAGCACGGCCAGCCCTGGGGATGGAGAGCACGGCCAGCCCTGGGGATGGAGAGCACGGCCAGCCCTGGGGATGGATGGAGAGCACGGCCAGCCCCGGGGATGGAGAGCACAGACACGCCACAGCCGGTGGCCGTGCGCCCTGGGAATTTTAACTTTTTATACCAATACCGCAACTAGTGAGAAAGTCTTCGCTGGTGCTGGTGGGACGTGGCTGAGCCCAGATGTTGGTGGCCCCCGGGGGAGCAGGGCTGTGCTTGGTATCAGCCCGGATGGTGCAGGTTGGTGAAGACCAAAAAGAGTAAAACGGCACCAAAACGCTGCTCCTCTTCCTCCTCCTCCTTCGCCAGATGTCCCCCAGGGTTCCCAAATTTCTGCTCTTTCACCCAACCCATGTTCTTCATCCTCTGCTGGGTTTCTGTTCTGGGTGGCTGTGCCAGGCGCTGAGCAAGGACTCTGGTGGCTGTGGGACACATGGGATGGAGGGGACAGGGCACAGCAGGGGCTGCTCTGCCCCAGCCTTGGGGCATCTCACAGCCCAAAACACGCCAAGCCCAGGGGACAGAACGCTGGGCCAGCTCTGTGGCAGTGCCTCGGAGCTGCAGGTTTGTGTCCCTCTGTGCTGCTGCTGGAGCTGAGCTGCCTGGGGGATTTGGGGATGCTTGTCCGGGGAGGACAGTGGTGCTGTGGTGGCTCCACTCGCCCTTTCCCTGCCAGCCAGGGCACTCTGTGGTCCCAGCAGTGTCCTGGCTGTGGCCTGCTGTCCTTCCCCTCCCCGTGGTCACAGCTCGGTGACACCACCAAGGCAGCGGGTTCTGCCTGTGCCCCCTGGCAGCTGCAGCCCCCCAGCTCAGCTCTGTGCCCCCCATGCCCCAGTTTCCCCCACAGCAGTGGTGCATGAGCGTCCCCCCAACCTGCAGGGAGCTGGCACCACCACGAACACCAGAGGTGTTCTCCATCTGCTTTTGCACATTCTACATCCATGTGGAAAGGGTTGATTTGATTGCCAGGTGAAAAACTGAGTCGTTTACTTTCTATACTTTTAGGTTCATATCTTACAGTTCTAATGTGGCCTTTTTTTTTTATTTTTAGCAAGGAGCTTGTAAAGTACAACATGGCCATGAAACCCCATCAGCTTCCTGCACTCGCTGCCAGCTGAATGGTTTATTGCCATTAACATTCACTGTTTGCTCCCCAATGCACCCCAATCAATGTTTACAAAGAAAACAAAATAGAAAACAAGCCAAAACCTGATTTAAATGAGTTTTAAATAGATGGGGAGATGCCCCAGCCTGTGGGGACGTGCTGCCCATCCTGCCTGTGGCCTTGAGGGAGAACAGAGATGCCCAGTGCCAAGGCTGGCATTGCCTTGAGAGGGGGTTGAGAGAGACCTGCTGTGCCTGGATAAGGTTTGGGGTCCTTTTTTCTTTTTTTTATTGGGGGCTTTTATTTTTTTTTTATTGTTGTTTTTTCCTGAAGTGCCAGCCCCTGACTGGTGGCAATCCCAGGCTCATGAGGTACCACAGGTAAAAGCAGTGAGTGCACCCCTCCCACCCCGCTGAGCTGTGGGCACAAACTGAACTGTCTTTAAAGCTTTTTTGGGTTGTTTTGATGGATTTTTAATGATTGGTTTTGGATCTGTATGTTTAAGGCAGGCACAATGTTCTATTTCTGTTTGCAGCTTCACGTGCCAAATCTGTCATTTAAAAATGGCAAAAAGGAATTGTAGGCTAAGAAGTGGGTGTGGTTGAAGTACAAAAGGACACATGGGCTCTGTGCTAACAGGATGCTCAGTGTGGAGTGTGGCTGGATTTAAGAGTGTGCATTTAATATGGATCATTTTCCAAACCCACTTTGCTTTCAAGGGAGAGTGGAACAAAGTAGTATTACACATTAAAAAAAAAAAAAATTAAACCAGCAAACAAACAAAAGCCCAGATCCCAAATAAAACAAAAGATGTGACTATTTGAATATATTTACTGAGAACTTTTTTATTATTTTTTTTGTTTGCTTGGCTGTGAGCTGTGTGTGAGAGCGCAGGGAAGCGAGTGCAGCTCCTCAGCTCAACCCTCCTATGGCAAGAAAGTTAAATTTCTTTTCAAAACCCTTGATTTAGTTAAAATTTCACCCCTCCCAGCCCTGGGCACCAGGTCAGCCTTGTGGCCAAAGCCAGGGTCTGTGTTCCAGAGGCTCCACTGGCCGTGGTGTTGGGTCCCCCCACAGCTCCTCCCTGCCCTTAATCCAAGAGGAAAACGATCCCAAGAGGAAACCACATGCCAAAAGGACTGAAGCCTCTGTGTGCTTTGTGATATTATCCAAATGCCCTTGATATTCCTGTATTTTGACAATGCTTCTGTTTGTTCAGTGTACAAAATCCCCGTATTTGAAACGGAAGCTCCGTGTACAAACCCTCGGGTTCCTTCTCTGGTGTAAATTTCCAGCCCACCTTCCCATGGGATGGGGAAAGCCCTGTAAATACTCACCTGTGGGCAATGCAAGGCTGAGAAGCAAGGCTTCATTTTTCTAATTCCTTAGCCTCAGTTACAATACTAATGTAAAAACAAAAGCAGTTTATTTTTCTAATGGTCCTGGAAACGTTGATGCAGCAACAAAGAGTCGTTCCTGCCGCTGAAAGAGCCCACAAGGAGCTTCCATGGGAACAGGAGAATGGCTACTGCTTCCAACCATGGAAAAATCCCATTTTCTGGAGGAAATAGTTGTGTTCCAATGCAGAGACCTGGCAGGCCCTGGGGGATGCAGAAACGAGGACAGCTGGGATGTTTTGGGGTTTTCCAGCAGCGGCTCCGGCGCATGTTCCGTGTCCACTATGGTTTGATACGCTCAATATGGACTAAATCCACATATCCTGCATTAAACTCAACTACTCCAACCAATGTTATGAGTACATTTATTTCCTGTTATCCCCCTTTTTATTTAACCTCTATAGAACAGGACAGTTTTATTCCAAGCTCAGCTCCTGCATGGATTTTTATCAGCAACAGCAACTCCCGTCTTTCCTCTCGGAGACCGAATTCCGGGAGCTGCTCTGCTGGGATGCAGCCACCAAGGGGAGAGGGTTTTGTACAATTCTTGTGAAGATGCTTCACATTTCTGTAAAGATAAATGAAAATAAAAGAATAAAACAGCTGCATGCAGCAACAGGAGACACTGCTGTCTGATATTTCTATTTTTCAGAGTCTGGTTTAAAATCTGTAGGAAAATGTGGTTTAAGCTGAGGCTCAAGGCAGCTCTTCCCAACTTTATTTTTTAACTTCATTTTCAAACTCTTTGTGCCTTCAGGCTTCTGGTAGAGAAGCTTTTAAAGATTATTTAATTCATTTATTTAATCCTAATTTCTATGATTTAATAAATGCATTAAATTTTGTAGGTATTTAAGGGTTTGGTTTTTTTAAACTGATTTTTAGCCAAGATTCAGTACATGTTCTTCTACCTCCCAACACTTCAAAATTTGTCACTGGCTCCAAAGGTTCCAAGATTTTCAGGGAAGATCCCAACATTTCTAGAGCGTGCTACGCTCATACACAAAGATTTTAGCTTGGACATCAAATACAGGTAAGCAGAGATGGTTTTTATTCAGCCTTTTAGGCAAATACTGTAAAAATCTATTTATTTAAAATCACACAGAAGGACACAAACAATATCCCTTAAATAGGGAAAATAATTCTGGGCTGAACATACACGTGAGGAAGTTGGAAGTAAAAGGAGAGCAGGAAGCCAAGGCCCTGCTAAATGACTTTTTAATTATTGGCTTTAAACCAGACAAAGCTGTACATGGAGAACAAAATCCTCTTGATTTTCCAGGACATCCAAATTGCAATGATTACACCCAAAATAAGGTGATTTTAACAGCACCAAGAGCAGCTCTCACTGGCTAAAAACCCATCCAAACTGCAGAACAGGATTTAATGCTCTGCACAAGGAGATTTCAGCACTTCCCAGCAGCGGATTCTTCATTTTCCTGTTGTTCTGCCTTCCACAGCAACAGACACAGAAAAGAAAGGGAAAAAACTCTGCAAAATGAACAAAAATTCATTCAAATATTTGCTCCAGTTGAGGAGAATCAAATACTAACACTGCAAACTCCTTGTAGCAGAGAAAAAAAAATCTAGAGCACTAAAATATTAATTCAAAATAATGGGGTTGGTGTAGCTGGGAAACAAAAAGGAAACCAAACCCAGGAAGGATTTTTTATTTTTGCTCTAAATTCAGTTTTTATGGTTATTCCTTGGAAAATGGAGTCAAAATAAAGAGGTTTTTTTTTTCTAAGATTTCCAGGTAAGGCCACAATAATTTGGGAAGGTTTATTATTCTTTCAAGTGCCTCATTTGAATTTTAACAAATGCTGGAGATTGAATATTTCATGATTCCTGCTGCACACACTTCCCCAGAGGTTTTTTTTCCCTCACTACAATAAATGTGTTATTTCCTAACAAGTTCAGAGGGATGGATCAGAAAACTATGACAGGATTTCAGCACCAAGATAAAAGTGAATTTATATTTAGCACAGACAGAAAATTAAATCCACCCTGTAATTTCTACAACAGGAACGTACCCATGCTCAGCACAGGCTGGAGAAGGAAGGGACATAAAATTCCAGTTCTGGAATGGGATTTTCCTTAAAAATTTGGGTTAATTTTTTCAAAGAAGAACTGAACTTACCACTCTCAGCCAAAGAGTAAAAATGCATTTTTTTCATAGACCCACGGGAAGCTTGAAATCTTCAAACCCTCTAAAATCAAACCAAGCCTTAACAAACCTGTAACAGAAACCTGAGGGAAATGTTTTCTTTTTAGAAGAACAAAATTTAAAAACCTATAATTATTTTTCTACTTGCTATATGGTAAAAGAAGTCCAATGTCTGAGTGGTAGCCTGGAATTAATTGTAAAATTTTCAATGCATTGTGGAAAATACACTTAATTATAGTGGACCATATGAATATTCCAATTTTGACCTGGCCTGAAGAACTTTATTTAGTAAAATTTCACTTATCTGAAGAATACAACCCCAAAATCTTCCCCACAGTTCTTCAGTTGTGCAGATGAACAGCAGTAAAGTGGTTCCAAATTTCTCCAAAATCTTCTTTTTGGAGCGATGTCCTTGGAGAATCCCAGCACTGACCCCCTGACCCCCAAACCCACCCCCCTCAGCCACCTGCCTCTCCCTCAACTGCTGAAAATTAATTACATTTAACCCCCTAATTAACTGCAAGCCACTTAATTGGATAAGCACAGTACGGATAGCAGCTTATCCACATCCACAAGGACTGCTCCATTCCAGGGTGGGGCCAGGACCAAATTCCCAGGGCAGCCAGCTCGGAGGGAACAGGAGACACCTCATTTGTTGCTATATTTTAATAATAAATCAAATAAAATAGAAAGTGAGGGGTTTGGGGTGGTCTAGTCATCAGTTCTGGGGATTTGTGGAGGAAAAAGCAAAAGGAATAGAAAATTCAAGTCCTGACAACTCATTCCTGTCATTCTTGCTTCAAACTACAGCCCCCAGTGCAGTGGGGACAAAAATCAGCTTTATTTTCTTGGCACCCTCAACTCTCCCAGTGCAGGTGAAGGCTTCCAAAGTAAGTTAGCATTTTCCAAATTCAGATTATTTTGGCTTGAACTCTTCCCCCACCTGAGAGCAGGATGAAAATGGGACAACACCACACCAAGTACAGATGCAAACAGCACGTGGAACACACAGACTGATGGACAGAGCTGGAGAGGCAGAAATTGCACTTGAAAGCACTTTAAAGATGTACACTCTTGGATTTGTTAGTAAGAAACAGAGAGAGGTCACAGACAGAGCTCCCATTTTTCCTCCTCCTTCCCAGGAAGCACAGCCAGAACCTCTGGGAGCAGCTGGAAGTTTTTATCCAGTTCTGCTTGTTTGGCCAGAGCTGAGAGGGAACAGCCCTGGCTCCAACTAATCCTGGGGAAAACCAACCCAAACAAGCAGCTTAAGCTGCAGGCTGCAAATTAATTCCATTTACAGCCCCTGGGGCTGAGGGAACAGGTGACTCCCACACATTTCCCTGATTTCAGGGATTCACACTCTGCTCTGCCTGGAACGACAAAACCCCATTTTCTAAACAGGGATTTTTAGAAGGTATTAGGGTCCAGATCACCTTATTAGGATTTTATTAGGACATCAGGATTTTCTGTCCTTGGGAGGGAAGGGTTAAACATGAGGGCACTAAAACCACAGTCAGAAATCCTCTGAATTCAGCATTCCATCAATTTAACCCAAACCTCAACACTGACTAGAAAATTACCAAAATTCTGCCACTGAGTGACTGCACAGAGCAAAGGAGCCCCAGCAGACAGATTCAAGAGTCTGATGAAATAAATCCTTAAATTATTTCCCAATTTTCTGAGAGCTTTTTGGTCCCATTCTTGCCCACTGCAAGCTCTTGTCACAAAGTTATTGCAGCTCCGTGCAGGTGAAGCTTTACCAACCAGAGCAGCACATCTTTAAAGTGTATTAGTTCTTGGAGGGGATGAAGTGTCACACCAACAAAAGTACACATGAAATAAAAAGGAAATCAGTTAATGATTTTTATTAAATTTCAGTGTTTCATAAAATAAATATGGTTTATAATATCAAACAGTGAGAAATAAAGCACAAGCATGAAAAGCATGGTAACAAAAGTTACACTCATGACGGTGTTTAATACTTAGCACTTTAGAAACCATAAAGCCTTTAATTATTTACAAGCAGCAAACTATCTAACATAATTTACAAAGTTGCAGCAGCCTAGTCAGGGAGTCCTGGAAGGGGAAAAACCACGGAGAGACTGCACTGGAAGACCTTCACTTTGCTCTAGCTAGCCAGCACTTTATCCCATCCCCTATGTACAATAACTCTGCACCTTCCATCATCTCCAAGGTCAGGAATTACACCGGATTTAGAGCTCAGTTCCTCTCGAGGACGGGCAGGACCTTCTGCACCCGAGAGACACAAATTCAAGTAACACTTCAAAGAAAAGTAAACATGTGCAAACCCACATCAGAACCTACAGGAGCTGCAGGTAGTAAGTGTCAAACCCACGGAGCAGGAGCTTGTTAGCAAATTAAATTAATTAGGGATTAGCTACAGAAACCTACTTGGGAACCAGCTGAGGCCAAGAATGAGACATGGGAGTGGTTAAAAATAAAAACAAAAACAAAACAAACAAAACAAAAAAAAACCAACAAAAAAAAAAAGGAACTGCAAATGTACCCTGTTACCACAGACAAAAATTTAATCTGCCAAAACACGAAGACTTTTAAGGTCATAACTCAAGATTTAATATTTCAACATGAAAAGAAATCCAAGCCATTCGACTTATTTGGGCTTTTGAAACAAATGCAAATGTCTCTTTTTAAAAATCGCTTTCAAATGAGAAAAACAAATCAATATATATTAATATATCACCCAAAATAAAAAACATAACACACTCTTCATTGTAGAGCATGCTGCTCATTCAGAATAAAGACAGGACAAAGAAAGTAGAATTACATTTCATGATGTAATAAAAACATTAAAATCTGTGATCATTAAGTGCACCATCGTACAGGAGTAGCGTGCTCAGAGTGGAAATGTTCTATACCTACCAGCATCCACCTTTATTAAAGCAAACAAATCTTTAGGACACTACCTGAAACTGAAATCAGAAACTGGGCTCCATTCAGCTTGCCTTAAGTTTCAGCCAGGCACATTCGCACATTCCAGCTAGTAGCACCTGTTATGCCTCTTCATGATTGTATTCCAGAGATCTTTTACATTTGTGAACAATTTTTATATTTGTTTTTTTTAGAAAAAGACTGGCTTTTGCAATCCTTGCAATGCTTATTCTACACAGATCCTGCAAGTAAACTCTGTTCTGAGCAGCACAAG